ATAATTATTTAGTTTCTTTTTTACATTAATGGTATATTTTTTACAGTAAGATGCCCACATTTTTATTTGAGACTCGCCGAACGGCATTGAATTCACAGATAAAAAAGATGTGGGTTCAACTTTCATTTTGGAACAATTTTTCAAGCAAGGGAATGGAATTATCTGAGCATGCAGGAGGACTGACCCATCATAAACCTTTGTCGGCTGTGCTGAAGAGAAAGGTACAGAACCATATTATTTAATTAGCTGCGCGTTCTCCTGTCCTCTGTCCTCCGGGCCACACACACACACAAGGGACTGTCTCAGCTGTTATTTTCGTTAAGGAGTGTGCACGTACAGCATGCGCGCCTCGTGCACGAGCCTACTATTGAAGCTGCGATTACGCTTTTGGCCTGAGGGGGCAATCGCCAGCATAACAATTCAAAACTTCGTAAAGTCCCTTTAAGGAAAACTGAAGATTTTGTGATTAAGTTATATTATCAACCTTAATTTCATGTTATGGAGTTAAACTAGTGTTCAATAAGACCCAGCCTTGTGAAAAATCTCAGAATTGTTCTTGTGTTTCTTGAGCTACTGATTAAATCCATACTTTTTAAAGGATGTGTACTCGTTTATGCTGAAGAGCGTGTGTGTGTGTGTGTGTGTGTGTGTGTGTGTGTGTGTGTGTGTGTGTGTGTGTGTGTGTGTGTGTGTGTGTGTGTGTGTGTGTGTGTGTGTGCGCGCGTGTGCAATACAGGCCAAAAGTTTGGACACACCTTCTTATTCAATGTGTTTTCTTTATTTTCATGACCATTTATATTGGTAGATTCTCACTGAAGACTTCAACACTATGAATGAGCACATGTGGAATTATGTAGTACTTAACTAAAAAAGGTGAAATAACTGAAAACATGTTTTATTTTCCATCTTATTAAAAAAAAACACCTTTTGCACTGATTACTGCTTTGCACACTCTTGATGCATTCTCTTGATGAGCTTCAAGAGGTAGTCACCTGAAATAGTTTTCCAACAGTCTTGAAGGAGTTCCCAGAGGTGTTTAGCACTTGTTGGCCCCTTTGTAAATGGTCATGGTCATGAAAATAAAAAAAAAAACACATTGAATGAGAAGGTGTGTCCAAACTTTTGGCCTGTACTGTATATATATTTGATATAAAGGATAAATGATGAGTGTATGTGTATTGTACTGTACAGTGTTCAGCGCCTTGGGCTTCCTGACAGGGTTGCGGAAGGCGCTTTATAATTAAAGCTTTGATTTGATTTGATTATTATCAATCAAAGAAAATGCAAAACCAGGTGGTGTTTTAGAGGTTACGGACATTGTAGCTGAAACTTGATACAAAATGACATTCGTCCCTGGGTGGGCTCGAACCACCAACCTTTCGGTTAACAGCCGAACGCGCTAACCGATTGCGCCACAGAGACTGTGTGAGCTCAGCCATGTGTGTTTATGAGAGGGTGAGTGAGTGGGAGGGTGAGTGGGTGGGAGAGAGAGCGAGAGAGAGAGAGAGAGTAACCCATTGCACCACAGTGTGTGTGAATTCAGCCATGAGTGATTGTGTATGTGAATGAGATGGAGAGGGAAGAAAAGCGGAAAAAAAGTTCATCCCTGGGTGGGCTCAAACCACCAACCTTTCAGTTAACAGGCAAACGCACTAACCAATTACTCCATAGAGACTGTGAGCTGAGCTCAGTGTGTGTGTGTGTGTGTGTGTGTGTGTGTGTGTGTGTGTGTGTGTGTGTGTGTGTGTGTGTGTGTGTGTGTGTGTGTGTGTGTGTGTGTGTGTGTGTGTGTGTGTGAGTGAGCAAGAGGGGGAGGGGTATAGACTACAGGGTTTGTGTGGCTAAAGCAGGACTTCTGACTAGCTTCTTGCCACAATAAAATAACAAAACGTCTCCTAGCGGCTGAATGTTTTTGCAGGTTATTCTCATGCTGAAGTCGTCTGAAGTTGACCCTGTTTCAGACGTATCAGACACACATCTGATGAAAACTTTTAATTAACTTTGTAATCCGTTAATACAACATACAATAAATGTAACAAATTTGTGCGTTAAATAGGGGTGTTTTTTTACTTACAGCTGCAGGTTCCTGTTTTAGTCTACACGAACATTGCTTTTTAACAAAATCAAATAAGTGGTGTTATTTACTTGTTTTAGTCAGTCGTGCATAACTGAAGATGATTTTAACAGTAGTTGACATCTTTGGTAACATCAGTCAAGTTTATTTCAGTATTCTGCTACTCAAGTTAGATATTTTAGTGGATGACCTCTCACCTCTTCAGCTTTCTGGTATGCTTTAAGCGGTCCTAGCATTTAAAACCACATTTACCTTGTTGTTAGGCAGCTTTGGATGTCTAATTTAGAATCTCAACAAGTCTGTTCTGTCTCCTCCTTATGTTATATTTATTAGTAAATTATTAGTGTATTAGTAATGTTGTAACGACTGCTGAGAAATGGTACGTTCTGAGGAAAGCTGGTCATAAGCTTAGACACACCACCTTACATCTCCGTGCTCCAACCCACTTCAATTTTGGCAGTACATTAGGGCTGCCACAAACGACTATTTTAATAGTCGACTAATCCCCAGTTTTGTTGACGATTAGTTGACTAATTGTGTCATGCATAAAAGTATAGCTTATTGCACCAGGATGTTCTAATATACCCGTCATTAGCCTCTAGTTTGAAGTGTCATCAGTTATGTGCCATCTCAAAACAAAGACAAGATGATCGCGTGTCAAACTTTTAATTAACTTTGTAATCTGTTAATACAATATACAATAAATGTAACAAATTTGCGTGTTAAAGAGGAGTGTTTTTTAACACTGTAATGTAGCGTGATAAAATAATTAGCATTTGTTACTTTAGAGCAAATACGTGAGATACATATGTGTTCTAAAGAAAAGGAAATAACCATCACTACGATTGTTGCTACAGCTATGAATACAAGTAACTATCTGTATATGTTAGCAGCTAGAAGGAGGTAATTAGCAGGAAGTGGTTCCTTTTAAGGTGCTTGTGTATCGCAGATGTGCTCTTGTGAAAGAAGAAAGATTTTGCACTCTACACTCTTCTCTTTTGTCTTTAAAATGCTCCCATACTTTTAAACTACGTTGCCGACTCGCCATGATGTCTTCTTTCTCTGGTGATTCTGATTCGAAGACCGATCTGGTTTGCCTCTACTGCGCATGTGCCTTGAGCAGAAAGGCAGCAAGCGGCCACTGAAGGTGCTGCAGCAGGCGATATTAAGAAATGCTTCATAGAATAAACAATGTTGACTATTAAATTTAAAGTTGACAGTTTTGTCGACGTCATCTTGACTAATTGACTAATCATGGCAGCACTACAATGTATAGATACTGATTGCTGTAATGCTAACTGCAGATAAAGGATAGCCTGAACTACTGCTAATGCTAGCCTAGGCGCCTAACGTTCTTGTTGGACAAGAGGGAAACAGACTGTTGGAACACCACTCACATTCCAGGATGTTTTGGGAAAAGCCAGACTATGAATGATTGCCAGATGGATCCATAGCTTGTTGTAATTTTCCTCATTTGTCTGCTAACAGCAGCTTCATAACCAGCCAAACACTCACTTCGTCCCTTGCTTGTCCAGACTGCTGCATCGTTGGCACCCCTCCCATCTTTTTTTCCTTAAACTTTTGTTACAATTTAATTTCCCAGCCTAACGCGGTCATTGAGCCATCGGGGTAAATGAGCCAATCAGCACACCGCTTATTTCATATTCATATCCTGGTCTGGTAAACAGGTATTCCCATTGTAGGGCTTTATTATGGGGATGTGTTAGGTCATCTATCAGCGTTCCTGGGGCATTTTGAGCCCCAAAATTTTTCATATGCGATGTGAAGGCTCTCGTAGAAGGAAACATGGTTTCTAATATGGTGTCAACCAAAGAATTAAGGGCTCTCTGACAGGCTCACAGAGGGTGATGGAGACATGTCCAAAATATTAAACATCTGTCGAAAGTGACCGAGACCGCACGCTTGTGATTGGTCAGGACGCCGCTTCCTGTACATTCATCACCAGCACTGCTGTAGCCAAGTTCAAAAGTAAACTGATATTTAGCGGCAAGCCCAGAACAGATTGAAGAACGCATCGTGGAAAAAGTCCAAAAATACGAACATTTATTCACCCTTGAGTGAAGGAGTGAAGCTGTCATTTGATATCTTCTACGGTTTTTACGTCATTATTCTTTTATGATTTTTGGACATCTGCCGACAGAGTTGACAGTTTATGAAATCCCACGCACTTTTGTCTCTTAATGCTCTTTTATATATTTTGCCACTTCAACTAATCCTTTTATCAACATGTCTTCAGCACAAAAAGCTAGATGTATTCAGAGTACATAGCACAATAAAGGCAACATCTTAGGAAATTCTTCTGTGTCATCAGGGATTACTTACTGAAATGTGTCTGTCCTAAATGTGAAGCATTGGTTTTAGGTGATACAACCCTCCCCCCTCCTATTAGTGTTGGTAAAAACCCCTCTTAGATTAGCATCTGCAGTTTTATTGCAGCCTGCCAAAACAGGCTGAGGATGATCCTCTGATGGTAGTAAAACCTAGCCCGGCAAGCCAGACTAAATAAATGTATATATTTTTTATTATTTTATTATTTTTTTTATTATTAATTTTTGTAAAGTTTTTTTTAAACTTTGCAAAGCAAGAATTTGGTCTAGTTCACTAGGCTAAGTAAAACCTGCAACAGGCCTGTAACAGAAGAAGGTCTCTGACCTTTACTTTCAGCTGAATGACACACCCTTTACATTACTCTGTGTGTGGGTGTGTGGGGGGGTGGGGGGGGCTACTATGTTTGATAAATTTATGACTTTACTTTGGAGTCAGCTGTCATGACCATTTACTCTGCTTGCCGGTTCCTTGGTATTATTATGAATCACATCAAAGAGAAACAGCAGCTTATGCTAACAGATAATAAAAACTCACTCATTGTCCCTTTGTTTTGTCTTACCTGTCTGTGTGTCTATAGGAGGCCTAGAGATCACCTGTGAGTACCTGGCGCTGCAGGAGGGAGTCATGTGTGAGGAGGTGAAGCTGCTGAGCGAAACCAATGACCAGGTTTCTGTCAGAGTCACCGTTCACGCTCGAGTCATGGGTGAGGCTCTTTTTTTTTCCACAGCTCAGAGAAACCGGGAATTCAACGTTTGCACAAGCATCGACTTGTGATTCAACATAAGAATCAGAACAAAACCATGAATCATTTGGGAATTGCTCCATTACTAAAAGCAGGAAGACTTCCATTGTTATATTTCGGTTAAGGGTTTAATAGATGACGTGAGTGAATATGGAGATCACAAGTCTGCCTTAAATAGGCTTTGGTTATTTAATATTATTATTTACACTTGGATTATGACAAGTGTTTATTGTTATTTCAATTCAATTCAAAAATACTTTATTAATCCCAGAGGGAAATTGATTGCTGTAGTAGCTCAGAATAATAATAATAATCAAGTCATCAAAGAGTTATTGTATACAGGTGCTGGCCAGTAAATTAGAATATCATCAAAAGGTTGAAAATATTTCAGTAATTCCATTCAAAACGTGAAACTTGTACATTATATTCATGCAATGCACACAGACCAATGTATTTCCGATGTTTATTACGTTTAATTTTGATATTTATAGGTGACAACCAATGAAAACATCAAATCTGGTATCTCAGAAAATTAGAATATTCTAAAGGCCAATGAAAAAATGTTTGTTTCTCTAATGTTGGCCAACTGAAAAGAATGAACATGAAAAGAATGTGCATGTCTAGCACTCAATACTTAGTCGGGGCTCCTTTTGCCTCAATAACTGCAGTAATGCGGCGTGGCATGGACTCGATCAGTCTGTGGCACTGCTCAGGTGTTATGAGAGCCCAGGTTGCTCTGATAGTCGTCTTCAGCTCCTCTGCATTGTTGGGTCTAGCGTATTGCATCCTCCGCTTCACAATACCCCATAGATTTTCTATGGGGTTAAGGTCAGGCGAGTTTGCTGGCCAATCAAGGACAGGGATACCATGGTCCTTGAACCAGGTGCTGGTGGTTTTGGCACTGTGTGCAGGTGCCAAGTCCTGTTGAAAGGTGAAGTCTGCATCCCCATAAAGTTGGTCAGCAGCAGGAAGCATGAAGTGCTCTAAAACTTCCTGGTAGACGGCTGCATTGACCCTGGACCTCAGGAAACAGAGTGGGCCAACACCGGCAGATGACATGGCACCCCACACCATCACTGACGGTGGAAACTTTACACTGGACCTCATGCAACGTGGATTCTGTGCTTCTCCGCTCTTCCTCCAGACTCTGGGTCCTTGATTTCCAAAGGAAATGCAGAACTTGCTTTCATCAGAAAACATAACTTTGGACCACTCAGCATCAGTCCAGTCCTTTTTGTCCTTGGCCCAGGCGAGACGCTTCTTGCGCTGTTTCTTGTTCAAGAGTGGCTTGACACACGGAATGCGACACCTGAATCCCATGTCTTTCATGAGTCTCCTCGTAGTGGTTCTTGAAGCGCTGACTCCGGCTGCAGTCCACTCTTTGTGGATCTCCCCCACATTTTTGAATGGGTTTGTCGTCACAATTCTCTGCAGGGTGCGGTTATCCCTAGAGCTTGTACACTTTTTTCTACCACATTTTTTCCGTCCCTTCGCCTGTCTGTTAATGTGCTTGGACACAGAGCTCTGCGAACAGCCAGCTTCTTTAGCAATCACCTTTTGTGTCTTGCCCTCCTTGTGCAAGGTGTCAATGATTGTCTTTTGGACAGCTGTTAAGTCAGAAGTCTTCCCCATGATTGTGGTGCCTTCAAAACAAGACTGAGGGACCTTTTAAAGGCCTTTGCAGGTGTCTTGAGTAAATCAGCTGATTAGAGTGGCAGCAGGTGTCTTCTATATTCAGCCTTTTCAGAATATTCTAATTTTTTGAGATACCAAATTTGGAGTTTTCATTAGTTGTCACTTATGAATATCAAATTTAAATGTAATGAACATTGGAAATACATTGGTCTGTGTGCATTGCATGAATATAATGTACAAGTTTCACGTTTTGAATGGAATTACTGAAATATTTTCAACCTTTTGATGATATTCTAATTTACTGGCCAGCACCTGTATTACAATGGCTGTTGGCAGGAAGGATCTCCAGTAGCGGTCAGTGTTGCAGCGAAACTGAAGAAGCCTCTGACTGAAGACACTCTTCCATTGTTGGACAGTCTTGTGAAGAGAATGCTCAGGGTTGTCCATCATTTTCTTGATTCTCTGGGGAATCCTTCTTTGCATTATCTCCTCCAGTGGTTCCACAGTCGTCCCCAGAACAGAACCAGCCTTTTTTATTCGGCTGTTGAGCCTTTTCAGGTCCCTGCTTCTGATGCTGCTACCCCAACAGACGATGGCCGAAGAGATTACACTCTCAACAACAGACTTGTAGAAGATCTGCGGCATCTTGCTACAGACATTGAAGGACCTAAGCGTCCTCAGGAAGTGCAGTCTGCTGTGTCCCTTCTTGTAAATGGCTTTGCTGTTCTTTCTCCAGTCCAGCCTGTTGTCCAGGTGAACTCCAAGGTATTTGCATTCCTCAACCACCTCCACTTCTTCTCCCATGATGGAAACAGTGTTTGACTCCACCCTGGTTCTTCTGAAGTCTAAAATCATCTCCTTTTGTTTGTTCACGTTCAAAGTCAGATGATTGTTTCCACACCATGCCACAAAGCGCTCCACCAGCTCTCTGTACTCGGCTTCCTGTCCATCTCTGATACACCCGACACCTGTGGAGTCATATGAGTATTTCTGTAGATGACAGGTCTCTGATTTGTACTGGAAGTCTGAGGTGTACAGGGTGAAAAGGAATGGTGAGAGTACAGTCCCCTGTGGTGCTCCAATGTTACTGATCGCCAGGTTTGATGTGCAGTTCTTCAGCCTCACAAACTGGTCTGTTTGTCAGGTAGTCTTTAATCCAGGCAATAGTTGAGGCCCCCACCTGTGTCTTCTGGAGTTTCTGGCAAAGTTCATCAGGCTGGATTGTTTTAAATGCACTGGAGAAATCAAAGAACATGACCCTTACAGTGCTGCCCGCTTTGTCCAGATGACAGTGGATTGGTTGAAGCAGCTGGATGATGGCTCCATGGCGATAAGCAAACTGCAGTGGGTCCTGATATGTCCTAGTTTGCTTATTCAGGTGGACCAATAGGAGTCTCTCCAGGACCTTCATGATGTGGGATGTCAGGGCAACCGGTCTGTAGTCGTCATTGACAGATGGGCGAGTTTTCTTTGGAACTGGAACAAGGCAGGATGTCTTCCACAGGACAGGAACCTTCTCCTGGGCCAGGCTGAGGTTGAGGAGGTGCTGTAGAATCCCACAGAGCTGCTCTGCACAGGCCTTCAGTACTCTGGGGCTGACACCATCTGGACCTGCAGCCTTGTTCCTGTTCAGTCTCTCCAGCTGCCTCTTCGCTGATTTCTAGAGACAGATAGGTGGGAGGGGGAGGTAACCGAGGCAGCAGCATCTCCTGACTTGGTTGAAGACAGATTTATAGAACCAGAAGAGTCCATGATTGCGTTAGAGGACAAAAGAGCTGGCGTGTGACAGGAAAATGTTGAATCAGAGGAGGATGGGATGTCTGATTGGCTGGGGATAGGCGAGGAGGTTGCTGGGTTTGTTCCTGAACTGAACCTATTGAAGAACTTGTTCAGTTCATTGGCTGTGTCCAGGCTGCCATCTGTGCAATCCTTCCTCTGCTTGAAGCCTGTGATCTTCTTCATCCCTGACCAGACATCTCTGATATTGTTCCTCTGTAGTTTGTTCTCCAGCTTCTTCCTGTATGCCTCCTTGCTGTCTTTGATCTTGATCTTCAGTTTCTTTTGTATACTCTTCAATAATTCCCTGTCTCCCTCCTTGAAGGCTCTTTTTTTCTCATTTAGCAGATTCTTCAGTTCACTGGTGATCCAGGGTTTGTTATTCGTGAAGCATCTCACTGTTCTGGTGGGTATGATGTGTCCACACAGAAGTTTATATAGTCAGTGACGCATCCAGTCATGGCATTGATGTCCCCTTCATATCCTTGGCAGAGAGTCATCCAATCTGTGGTCTCAAAACAACTCTGCAGGGCTTCTTCAGCATCCTGTGACCATTTTCTCACAGTTCTTCTTGTCACAGGTTGCCTCTGAACAAGTGGTTTGTATTCTGAGCAGAGAAAAACAAGATTGTGATCTGATTGTCCCAGAGGAGGTCTTGTTTTGGACATGGATGCATTCTTTACATTTGCATAACACAAATCCAATGTCTTGTTTTCTCTGGTGGAGCAGCTGACAAACTGTTGAAATGTTGGAAGTGTAGCAGAGAGCGAGGCATGATTGAAATCACCAGATATAGCCACAAATACATTGGGGTGCTGGGCTTGTAGCTTAGCGACAACGGAACTGAGGGCATCACATGTACTTTCAACAATGGCTGAAGGTGGAATATAAACGGTTGCCAAGACAACACTGGTGAACTCTCTTGGCAAATAATATGGGCGACAACTTACTGCCAAGAGTTCAACGTCTGGGCTGCAGAGATGACATTTCACTGAAACATGACCTGGATGGAACCATCTGTTGTTGACAAGCACTGCCGCTCCACCTCCTTTTATTTTCCCGCTCCTCTTCAGATCTCTGTCTGCTCGTACCGTCAGGAATCCTGGCAGAGAGACTCTGGAATTGAGGATATGGTCCTGCAGCCATGTCTCTGTGAAACACATAACACTGCACTGCTGTTACTCTGGCTGAGTCCTTGAAAGGGCTTGGAGTTCATCCATCTTGTTGGCCAGTGATGTCACATTGCCCATTATGATCGATAGAAGAGATGGTTTGAATTTCCTCTGTCTCCATTTTGATCCCGCTCTGCATCCATGCTTCTTGCGTTTTAGCTCATTTGGGATTTGTGGCTTCAGTTGAGGTATTATTTCAGCCTTTCCAATGTTAATCAGCTGCTCCTGATTGTAAACCAGCTTGTTGCCATGGTTACGCATCATAACAAATGCTCAAAAAGTGAAAACAGTGAAAAAATAGCAGTGAAAATCCTCTAAGCCTGAGCACCAGAAACAGAAAAGTAAAATGTCCAAAAAAATACAATTTTTCTTGATAAACTAGAAGAGAAAGGCAAAACTTACATATAGTCAACAGAGCTACTCCAACATGCAGCCACCCAGAGCAGCGCAGTTCCGGAATTTTAATTTAACTAAATAACCAAATTTTCTAGTTCCTGAAATGTAATTTTTTTAATGTTTTTGTGTTTTTTTCTTTACTTGGATTACAGTTTAATATAATCCCTCATTGCATTAGATAAAGGATTGGTCAGAATCGCATAAATAAAATTAGTTTGTTTATTTTAAAATGTCACATTGCCCATTATAGTTTTATTATAATAAATATATTAAGTGTTTTTGAAGAAAAGCTGGTAGCTGTATGCTCATTTTACATCTGTTACTCAGTAAAGGTACATCTGCAAAATCTAAATATTTATAATAATCTTTCATCCATGTGGTTAACTAATGAAGCTAGCTTGTATTAATGATTTCTTTTTAACTTAGGCAAAACTTTTTAAATCAGTCTGAACCCTAGCAACCAAGAGAACCCTGTTTTTTGGTTTCTTCTCTTTACTGGTGTACTGCTGCACCCTGCTGGTTGAGTCATACTACTCCAGTTCCCAAATATACCCCCCCCCCCCCCAAAAAAAAAGTTAGATCTAATGATTAACAAGTTCATTTGTAAACAATAGGATGGTTAATGTATTAATTACATGTGAGAAACATGTGTGAATACAACTGAGCTTCTCCTTTTTGTTCCTGCAAAAATTACACTTGTTTTTGTTGTTGTTTAAATCAGTTTCAGTCGGGCTGCTTTTGATTCTATTTATGTTGACAGATGGAGATTTAGGTCAATGGGCCGTACGAGTGTGTGGGTGTGTGTCTGTGTACCCATATGCCTTTGTGTAAATATAGTAAATGCTGTGTGTGTGTTCAAGGCTGTTTGGCTGAGTGTTTAGTTTTATATTTGAACTTGTGTAGCCTGGCCTGAACATCTGTCCAGATGTGTGTGTGTGTGTGCGCGCGTGTGTGTGTGTGTGTGCTTATCAGATCAGTGGATTAGGCTCTGCCCCCACTTCTGTTGTTTGTAGCTTTTTCTGTAGACGAAGAGAGAGAACTGATGGCAAGAGTGTGTTTTCTTGAGAGGAGCCATGCAATGCAGCACCATGAAGAATAAATCGTTAAACTTCTGGCTAAAAAGTTTTTGAAACCTCACAAATCCCCTCACTTCAGAGGATTTGTTTATTGTAAATCTTAAGTGTACCACTCCACTTTTTCTAAATTAAGAGACAGAAAAAACCCACATTAATCTTACAGTATTTCCCTTTAAAAGGAATTTTTCATTCTGTCTGAAATGATGTCTCTTCCAGACCGCCACCACGGCACTCCCATGCTGCTGAATGGAGTTCGCTGCATTGGCATGGAGCTGGAATACGACTCCGAGCAGAGCGACTGGCAAGGATTCGACTAGATCCCATACTTCCTTACAGCTTTAGGAAACATCTATTGAAGGAAAAAAATGCATCCACTCTGGTTTACTGCAGCGCTTCAGTTCTAGTGATTCTGGCCGTGGTGCTTATCAGCAGAAATAGAAACCGTCTCCATCCAGAGAGCTTTTCTACAGGAAACATTCCTCTGCTGCAGCGATATAATATACCTTGTCACTGTTGTCCGGTCTCTGTTCTAATCTGTGTTTTCCTGACTGAGCCTCTAGAGGGCAGCATCTCTCTGTTAATCAGCTCAGACCCACATCTTTCTTCAACATGAAGTTGGGCTGTTTGATGGAAAAAATTAAGCTTCATATTAGTCTAAAGAACGATTCTGCACACTTCAGGGGAATGAAGTAGCAACACTGATCGTGTTTTGCTTCTGTTTAACCAATGAAGACTCATCTGTGTGTGATACTGCTCCAATCTGACTGCATCATGTGACCTGGACTCCCTAAACTAGTCTGTAATTTTAGTGTTTTATCAGTAAATTAGTTCTATAAGATGATATTTGTGTACTCAGCTGTATTATTTCTCATAAAAATAGAAATACCATACAATCAAATATAACAAAGTGTTGCACCACTACTTGGACAATGTTTTTTTTTTAATTAATGGTTAAAAAACATCCACTGCTTCTGTTTAGCTGTGATAATTCCTGTTGTTTTTTGGTTATTTAGATTAGCATTTTCCCACCTGATCTTGTGTTTTTCTGTTTTGATCACACTCTTAAAGAAAGGAAATGTTGAATTTACTCAACCAAGTTATGTCAACTGGTTTCACTAAACCTAGTTATCTAAATGTATGGAGTAATATACATTTAACATATAGCAATGCATATTATTCTTTACATTAAAGTAACTAAGTACCACTTGATGAAACTTAGGTAAATTCAACATTCCCTTTTATAGAGTGCACTCAAAATTGCATTTAATTCTTTCACAATGACAACAATTTTCTTTTCTTTTCTAGAGCTTCCTCTAGCAACCCTCTAAATGACACAAGTGCCTTCCATCCCATCCGGTTCCTTTTATTCATGACAATACTCTGTTTTAACCCCCACAAGGGATTTTTGGTCAGTCTGCATTTATGAAAGGGTTAATCAAACATGTTTGAGTCAAAAGGAGTTTCAATTTGAAGCTTTCAATTATTAAACTTCCATCTTTAACATGTCATTAACCATGTGCCAATTATATCATTTCATCGTGTACTCCTTATGTGTCAGATGTTTTTTATTGTAGTTTTCTGAATGTAGCCAGCCTCGTTTCCAACACCGAGCTAGTTGATGGTGCAGAACAGCAGATTTATTCAATGTTTTTCCTGTTTTTAGCATCAAAATGAGACGCTTGATAGTTTTTCTTGAATTTAGTCATTTTTGATCTGACCTGCTCCCCCTGGATGTCATTTGTACTTTTATGTAAAAAAAAAAAAAAAAGTAAATAAACTAGTGCGTTGAATTGAGTTTTTGACTACTTGTTGTCTGTCAGTTCCTTTTGACGGCCGCTTGGTGGCGGTAAAAGCTGATTGCAATCAGGGTTATTTTAATTTGAATGAAGACTGAACAAATTATACATTTAATCTCTCTGGATATTTTCTACCATAGTATTTCAGTCACTTTTACAAGTTTTTTTATTTTGAAAAGCAAACACTTAGGTTTGCTGTTGTATAATTAAATATGTAAGTCCTTCCAAACGTTTAAATCATCTGGTGTGAAATTAAAGATGGTGTCCAAAACATGCTTTAAAATTAAATTAAAAAGTTTTGATTATTGAGCAAAGTAGCAACTTTATATTAAACTTTCTGTTTTGACAGGTTTAAGAAAGTTATGTGTACTTGGATTTTTCCTCTAATTTGTATTTTTAGATTTGGGTTCATGTGTTGAAACTAAAAGTTTTCTTGCTTTAATTTAAACTCAACTTTTTTGTAGGAATAAACATGTCTTACGTTTTCACACAACAAAAACATTCTTTCAGCTTTTTAATGACTCGCTCTTTAAAAAATCTTATTCTGTTTTAAACTATTTAAGTTCGCTTGAATATGACGTTTCTGTTAAAGGCATTGGGACGGGTGACCAGCAGCACTTTGAACCATTTCTCGGTTCATTTCCGGTCATTTTAAATAAAAGTAGATTTAAACAAGCTCCAGATAAGCTGGGAATTGAAACTAAAAATATTGTTTTAATCTTAATGTTGTGGATTTTTATTAATTAATTTTTTTATTTTTTATTTTTTACAACCAGTCGGTTCAAGTGCGGAGAATGCGGGACTGATGTCTGCTTTCCAAGCGTGAAACTTCTTTCTTTTAAACAAAACTAAATAAGTATTTGTAATAAAACGCAATATTTAATTTTAATGGTCCAAAACACAATTTGTTCAATTAGTATAGCATTATTTTTTAATTTGGTGAGTTTTGTTCCATTCTTTTGAATATTATTAACTATTTACAGAAGCAACCAAACTTTTATTTGCTGCAAAATTCGTGATTTAAAGCTTGTTTATAAACTAACATAAATTGAATCACATGTTAATAAACGTTCAACGTGGCCTCAAATCGAGGAAAATACTTAAAAATAAACAAAAACTTCATAGTGAATTCGTTTTAATTAATTAACGTAAAGCTTTGAAAAGCTGAGAGGGAAACTTTGTAGATTTAAATTAGAAATTACTTCAGGTTAATTATTTAAACTTTGAAAGAAATATGCAGGTTTAATTCGTTTTATTCGTTTATTTTCTTGTACAGTTTCTCTTAAAGCAACCATACAAACAGTGAATTTGTCATGACTCCCAGGCTTACACCTTCACCTGCGTATTTCTGCTTCTCCTCTGTTCATTGTTTTCACCTCTGCCCAATTCCCCCCATGTGTCCCCAAGCCTTCTGTTTCCCTTTGGTCCCCAGCTCTCTCCAGGTTTCCCACATGTTCCCTCCTAGTCACTCCCTTGTAGTTTTGGTTCAAGTCATAGACTGTACATACATACTGTACATCTTTGGTTCTCCTGTCCCCTTAGTCTTTTAGGTTTATTTATGTAGTGTCTCACAGGTTATGGTTTATCCCCTGCTCTACTTGGTTTTCCTTTCCCATTTAGTTAATTGATCTCACCAGTCTCTCCTCTGTTCTCTCTCCCCACGCACCTGCTCCTCGTCTCCCAAACACCCAGCCCCTGTGTATATAACCCTGTCTGTGTTGTCGGTCCATTGATGATCCCCCCACCCACCACCCTGGGGTGAGCTTTTGGTTTTGTTCTTTGCAGCGTCTTGATAATCGTTTTGGCTTCCTTCCTTTTAGATGTTTATTTGGTTTTTCATCCTTAATAAAGGATTTTACTTTTATCTCCACTCCGCCTCTTGTCGTCCTGGGGTTCGGCATGTTGGGTCCAACCCTCCTGATCTCAACGTGACAGAATTTTAATCCTCTCTTAAGTATTGTCGTCTTTTTTACCTCGCAATTTTTTTCTAATTTTTTCGGATTCTCTCAGATTACATTGGCACATGTTTTATTGTTCATGATGCAATTTGTCTTTATTTGGAAACTTTTAATTCTTATTTGTGCACAGAAAATTTTTAAACCACCATAAACTTCTCAAAATTTAAGTTTACTCCATTATTTTAAACATCGAAATTAATAAAAAAAAAATGCTTGTAGTTTGCGCCAAGTCACGTCAATCTTTAAGTTTTGTTTTATGAAATTTATTAAGTTTATTTAGTTTAGAACGAGGCTTTTTGCGCTCAGATGAACATTGTTGCAGCGCCATCAGCCGCAAATATCCGCTACGTTTGGGTGCGTGAAGCGGACAGCAAACTGCTGCAGAGTCAAAGCTCTTTAGCCTTGTTTGGCATATGTGCGCTTCTTTATTATTAATCAGTCCGTTTACAATAACGCAAGCCGTTGCGTCAAAACGGTAAATTCACAAAACAAATTCAAAGCTTACTAAATGAAAACAAATTTCATTAAATGCTCACTTCCTGCACGCACAAATGTTTGTCATTCCTGCACAGATTTGGCCGGAGCTCGTGTGTGTGTGTGTGTGTGTGTGTGTGTGTGTGTGTGTGTGTGTGTGTGTGTGTGTGTGTGTGTGTGTGTGTGTGTGTGTGTGTGTGTGTGTGTGTGTGTGTGTGTGTGTGTGTGAGAGAGAGAGAGAGAGCGCGCATGTGTAGGTGTGGTGTGTGTTTGAACTCTGCGTGGCCCGGTGCCCTCGCGCTGACCTGCGGGATTACAGTTATCTCTGCTGATTGATCTGATTGATCAGATTCATCTCCACGAGGCTACAATCCAGCCGCGAGGCGGGGAGGGCTGCAGGGATGAGGCGCTCGGTGCAAATAAACAGTTTTCCCTTTTTGGTTCGCGGGGGGTGTGCTTGCGCACGTCCGTGAGCTGCTGCGTCATGTGACAGGAGATATGCGCCTTTATCTGCTCTTGTTTCATGGAACTGGGATTTTGAGAACAGCACAAGTATTATTTAGCTGAAATTGGATTAGAAGTTTTAGAGGAATTAGTTTGGATGAGAAAGAAAAACCACGACCGCTTCACATGGGTCTGCATTCATCAGATCCGTTTAAGAATAAAGCCAAATTAAAACGTAAATGCTCAGAGGAGAAGAAAAGAGACACTGCTACAGCATCTGGGTAAAACGTAAAAAAATGGCGGAGGAAAAGTCACAGTGGTGTACTCATAATTTAATAGGGGGGCCAAGTGAGACCACTGACAACTTTAGGGTGGCCCACCACGGTGGTCCTTGTATCTATGGGATTGTTTAGACTAACTGTGCATTGCATAATCCTTCTTTCTTAAAAAAACACATTTACCTCAAACCTTTCAAAACAAAAATGATTTAGAGAAAAAACATTTAAGTTATTTTAATTTGTTTCAATTAAAAACTTTCCTTATTTCTAGTTAAATTCACCAGTTGCTTTCTTCGCAAAACACCCACAAACATCCACTGTACTTCTTTTTAAAAATGGTGAGCAGCAGAGGGGTGGGCTTGGCCACCCCTAGCCACTCCTTGGTTGCACCATTGATAAGTGATGCAAATTTTATCAGCCAGTTCTAGAGAAAAAGCTTTAACGAATATCCTGCCAGACATATTTATGTCTTCAAAACAATAGTTCGTGTTTTTCCAGCATGCAAATAATTAAATATATTATCTTACCTAATAATAAAGTTTGACACATGTTTGATTTATGCCCATTGTGGTATTGTCCTAAACAATTTGAGAGCAAAACTTGAATCAGTTTTTGAACACCTTATAACTGAAGTAAAAAGATGACAAATGGAGCAATTTGCATAAACCTAAAGAGGGTTTTATATATTGTAAACAAAAATTCCTGTAAGGGATGGTGTCCTTGCAGACGATTATCAGAATTTCTATAAAGTGTACAGGCAGTTTGGTTTGTCATTAAAACAATAAAGAACCATAACATAGATTTATTGACTTTTGCATTGAGCCCAGATTTTTACAGATTTTTTTGTGTGTATGTTTTAGAGAATGACTACTGAGTAGCCTCTGTTCAGAGAAATAGAGTTTATGTCCAACAGAGATGATCTCTAATCTTAAAACTTCTTCAAGTTCCTAAATATTCACGATCCCTATTCATTTATGTTTATAACTTAAAAAAAATCCTGCTGGACTAAACTTGTGCTGCATTTGTTATGCTGGTAATTAGCTCCAATTGACAGTGGAGTAAAGACTAACAGGGTAATGTTGCGTGAGCTGCTACTTTAGGAGATTTGGGACGCCAGTAATACATTTGGGTCTTGGCTGAACTCAGACTAGCCATTTGCACATAAATCCTGAAGGCAACTGAAGGAACTATTTCTCTGAACAGAGGTAGTTCACAAACTTAAGTGGGTAAGAATTCTAAATGGCAAAGAAATAGAAGACTGACAACTTTATGTTGACAAAACTCTGTATTTCAAGACCCATCCACTAAAAGTACTGGGAAACTGTATAGTTATATAGGGCCATTTCCACTAATGGGTAATAACGTTAAAGTCCCATAGTCATCATCACACACTGGTGAAATTCATCACATTTGACCCATCCCTATGGAGGGCGAGTGGTGAGCTGCAGCAGTGGCTGCGCTCGGGAACCATTTGGTGGTTTAACTCCCCCAGTCCAACCCCTTAGTGTCAAACAGGGAGGCATTGGGTCCCATTTTTAAAGTCTTTGGTATGACCCGACCGGGAATCGAACCCCAATTTCGATTGGGGGGGGGGGGGGGGGGGGATGGACTCTACCACTAGGCCACTGAGCTGGTCTGTCTGTCTATCTATCTATCTATCTATCTATCTATCTATCTATCTATCTATCTATCTATCTATCTATCTATCTATCTATCTATCTATCTATCTATCTATCTATCTATCTATCATCTATCTATCTATCTATCTATCTATCTATCTATCTATCTATCTATCTATCTATCTATCTATCTATCTATCTATCTATCTATCTATCTATCTATCTATCTATCATCTCCAATAGGAACATTTTAGAATAAAATGGGTTTTTGCGGAGTTTTTTTTCAGCAGAGGGAATGAAAATGGAGGGGAGAAAGAGGGAAGTGTGTGTGTGTGTGTGTGTGTGTGTGTGTGTGTGTGTGTGTAGCACAGCAGCAGCAATCAGTCCCCCTCTTGTCTCGCTGCTGAGTGCAGCATCTGATTGACAGTTTCTATTCATTCTGTGTGAGATTAGGGCCAGCTGAAAGGAGTAACGACCCACGGCTGTGTGCAGTAATTGCAGCCTTGGATAAGAAAGAGAAATAGAATAAAAATAAGAAATAACACACACACACACACACACACACACACACACACACACACACACACACACACACACACACACACACACACACACACAGAGCAAAACTATAATTATATAATCCTGCTTTTAAAGACCCACACTCACTGTGTTTTCAGAGACGTTTCACCTGTAAAGAGGAAATTCCACCCAGTGTCTTCAGTCGTCTCTGCAAACAAAATGATCTCACAATTACAACAAACTACAGGCTGCAGCCTCCGTATCAAGCTGGCAGGAAATGGACTGGTGTTTGATCGGGAGTCACTCCTACTGAGGATGTTTTATCTGACAACAAACACTCCCCATGTTCTGCTCCCTTTGCTAATATTATTGTTATTATTATTATTATTATTATTATTACGTGAACAGCTGTGGAACAAAACTAACAAACACAAGTTTTACAGTAAACACAATAGGTTCAGAGATGTTCCCACATTTTGTTGTTTGTTTGTTTGTTTTGTTTCTCTTCTTTGCAAACAAAATCCAATTTGACCAGACAACCTGCAAACAATAAGAGCAGTAAACAGTCACGATGAAGACCTCAATAAGTGTGGTTACGCCACCTCCTCCTTACAACAACACCCATGATGATGATGACTAATTATGACGTTTTAATGCGGTTATTATGCATTATTGCTTCAGAGGGTGTTAATACATTCTTTAATAAATGATTTATAGAGTGTTAATGGATCATTTTGTTTGATACTTTGTCTAAACCGCTGTAATCTAAAAACAGTCTGAAATGTATTAAATCCAGGACAACAGTGATCTTGCTTCCATGTAATAATGTGTCTAATAAACACACAATAAAAATTTTGGTTAAAATAGAAATATTGAACTATTTAAAACAGCAGTAATATTGTTAAGCGTAAAACCCAAACCATTTATTTACAGTAAATGTTTCTAACACTTAAGTAGAAACAAAAGCTGTAACTCTTAGTATTTATTTATTAGATGTTTATAAACTATTGAAATGCTTTTAACGTATTAATAAAACCTTTATAGGCAGTGTTGAATGGACACTTACAGCTTTGCTAAGATAATAAATAAATAAATAAATAAATAAATGTTTAGAGCGGGAATCCAACCAAGCCGACTCAGAACAACGTTTGAAAGGATAATATTAAGTTATAACAAAAGTTTTTTTTAACCTAACATCTGTATTTTATTTATTTGTTTGGGGGCTGCGGTAGCGTGGAGCCGAACCCACAACCCATCCACTCATGTCCGTGTGTGTAGATCTGATCCCTGGTCAGCAGCAGCCTGTCACACAGCGGCCCTGCCCTCGGACGGCCAATCAGCGCCTCGCCTCGCTCTGACAGGAAATTACGTCACTCAGGTCCTTTGTGAAATATCACTACCGACATTATTCTCCCCTCTCTCTCTTTATTACTAAGTGTGTGTGTGTGTGGGGTGAGGTGTGTGTGTGTGTGTGTGTGTGTGTGTGTGTGGGGGGGGGGGGGGTAGTTCTGAAGCGAACAGAAACCCAACAAGAGGGTTCTGTTTGTGATCCACAGAGACCGTCTCCCCACTTCCTGACAGTCCCCCTCCTGAAGGGTTTGATCTCAGAAGACTCCCCCTTTTATATTTTACACACCAACACACACACCCTCTCTTTCGCACACACTCACTCACACACACTCACACACACACCAAGGATCCGCAGAGGCAGCAGATCCGAACCTGGAGAAACTTTCTCTCTTGCTTTGGTTCTGTCTTTGACGCGCACCGCCTCTCACTTTGTTTCTCCGTGGGTGATTGGTGTGTGTGTGAGTGTGTGTGGCACCTCCCCGCTCCTACACACACCTCGTTCTCGTGCAGCCTGCAAGCTCCACCATGCATTTCTTCTTCTACACCTCCCATGTTGCATTTAAGTAAAAAAAAAGAAGCTTTCTCACCTCTTTCCTCCGGTTTGGACTCGGGACCGTGCGTCATGCAGCGGCACAAGAACCCGGTTCAGCTGCAGGACCGCTCAGTCTCTTTGTGAGTGGATCTACTTAATTTTAACCCCCTTTTTATTTATCTCTTCTATTTTTTGAATGAAGAGGAGCGTGCTCTTCTTCTCTGTGGAAACAATTAACAAAGAGAAGAAAGTAGAAAGAGAAGATTAGCAGCAGCAGAGAGACACGCAGAGACCTTTAGAGACCAACTTAGTTGTAGATGTTCGATCAGGCCACGGCTATGGGTGATGGGAGCCACCGCTGTGGACCCAACCCGCTGTGTTCAGACAGGATGGACAGCAAGTGCCGCTCCGACCTGGGGAGCCGGTCCCCGGTGCAGAGCTCCACGGACACCCCGGGGACGTCCGCCTCCACGCCGACGTCCTCCAGCGAGGACGGGCACGAGAAACTTCTGGGAGTGGACCCGGACTACTGTCGCAGGATCTTAGTGAGAGGTGAGCCGCATATGATAATACAAATAAATAAATAACAGAGCACGCACGACTCCTGAAATAACACATTTATGCGTTCAAAATTAAATTTGGAAGCAATATCTCGTTAACTGCGTTCACGTTTTCGTTAAATTAAACTGATCTATGTCTTAAAAATAAAAAATAACTAGTATTTGTTTACAAAAGCCGTATTTATCATGCAGGCTGAAGTTTGTGTCAGAGTAGTTGTGCCGGTTAGAGCACCTCTGCTGCTCGGAGGACCACAACAAACCATCATCAGAGCAACATCAACATTTTAGTATTTTTAAAAGTTATTATTTACAGAAAAAACACGCATAAGTAATTCAATCCAGTAGAAAATAATCGATTATAACTGGGTTTAATTGGTGATTCAGTTACATTTTGTTTTTAAATGATTATTTAATCAATCAAAACAAACTCTGAGATTGTAATCGTTATAATTTATGTCAAATATATTTGATTTAAAAGCGTCTTAACGTGTGGAAATGTTTAAAATTTCAACAAAAATATGATTATTTGAATAAAAAGACACAAATGGGTGGATTCCCCGCAGGGAAACTTTCTTCTGCTTTCTGTAGTGATAAAAGTAAACATGTCAGCTCTTTTAATAACCACTAAACCACTAATTGTGTGTGTGTGTGTGTGTGTGTGTGTGTGTGTGTGTGTGTGTTTCCTCTTATTACAGATTCTTTACTTCAAAACGAAACTTTTAATTAAAATAACAATAACAAAATTATCCATATTAGTAACTATTTAAAACAGGTACAACAAAACATTTTTATGCTAAACGAATAAATTAATTGCGTTGAATTATCTTTGTTATTTAGAGATAAAAAAACACATTTTCCACTAATAGGAATTATTATTTTTGAATAAAAGGCACACGTACGACTTCTGGCCTCATTATTGCAAAACAATATTTATTCAGGAACTAATTTTTCCTTTTTGCTGAATAACTTGCTAAACGGTTTAGTATATTATCTATAATAGTTTATGGGCGTAGAGAAGGCTTATTTTACATGTTTTAAGTTTTCTGAGATAAAGAGAAATGATCAGATGTTCCTCTCAAAACAAACAAATAAAAGGTAAAAATCAAACTTTGTGTTTATTTGTTTTATGTTTATTTGAATCTCCGTTGGTTCTGGATTCTCTCGAGGAATTTAAAGAGAGAGAGAGAGAGAGAGAATTAGAGACAGGGGTTTTCTAGGAATGAGTTTATAAAACGAGGCTGAGTGGAGAAGCAAAGAATAAATAACAGTTAAATGAGGAAAAAAGGTACACAACACATTTTTCGTTGCTTCTTCGACCCACAGAAGGGCAGAAATAAAATGGAAATAACGTTAACCTTCTATAATTTCCTTATTATTATCTGGCAGCTGAGATTTACAGGAATACATGTTTGTGATTGTTTATCATGTTTTGGACTTTTTCCGTGTTAACGCCAGGTGTTCATGTGTCCGATCAGTTCAGACATGAAGGGGTTTGTTGTGTCCTCCTGAAGCTGCAGAAGAGCCCAAACACATCCAGCTTTCAGGAACTTGGAATCATCTCGGTGTGAAAGGCTGCAGCGTCAGGGTTTGTTTTTGAATCCGCGTGCTCTGGTTGTTGCAGCGCTCAGGCTGCTGGGGTCACCGAGAGGTCAGCAGGTCTCCCTGCAGCAGCGGGATTCCTCATCTGATGCAAACGCATTTGTAATTTATTTATTTTTTATGAATGGGAGAGTTGATGCAAAGCTTTGCGCCTTTACGCGTGCGTAAAGATGGAAAGGATGTTGCTTTTTAGGTGTTGGAAAGCGTAATAAATGTTGTGTGCGTGTGTTGTCTGTGCGCGCGCAAAAAAGACAAGAATTCGTTGATTTAATCTATAATGTAATCACCCGGAGGCCATTGCACCCCATTGCTTCAGATAAATAAATAAATAAACAAACAAATAAACGTTACAAGCAAAATATCGTCATTCGTCGTTGCCCCTGCTGTTGTCAGGTCTTCTGACGTAGAAAACTCTTTTTGTGTGTGCTTGCGTTCCCTCATTGCTTTTTCTGAGATTTTGTTTCATATTTAATTCAAGGCTCGCGCTTGGAACTCCATATTTCATTAAACTGCATTTTTCATGAATCGAAAACCCCCCAACAAAAGAGGAGGCCATGTTGGGCGTCCTCACCACACATGAAACAGTTTATATTATTATTATTATATTTAATCAGATCTGTGGTAAACTGTATCTGATAATAAACTGACATCACCCCCACCCCAATTATTGTTTAGAATAACATTATACCTGTTATTTTACTATTAATGATCAAAATAAAATGAAAGGAAACCACCTTCGTTTTCTTTTCCTGAACATTCCACCTGAATGGACTGGCAAAAAATACAAAATTGTCAATATTTGTATGATGCAACTATACAATTAAAAAGATTAAAATACAAAATAAATTCCCACTTAAAACCCATCTTGTCAAAAAGCAGAAGAACAAGAAAAAAAGTATAAAAATAAAGACTTGTTGAATGTTTGGCGCGTGAATGCGCAGCCCAACTGGTCTTGGAGCTTCTGCAACAAATTCACGTTTTAAGGGTGAAACAAAGACGGGATAACTGATTCAGTTATGATTTAGCCCGCTTTGTGCGCAATGCAACAAATAAATGTCTTAATATTTATCGTCATTATCCAGAAGTTTGCTTCCGGTTATAGTTTTAGAACATTATAACGGTGAGTCTCACACACACACACACACACACACACACACACACACACACACACACACACACACACACACACACACACACACACACACACACACACACACACACACACACACACACACACACACACACACACACACACACACTGAATCTGTTTTTCTTTGACGCACAGACGCCAAGGGCACCATCCGGGAGATCGTTCTGCCCAAAGGCCTGGACCTGGACCGACCGAAGCGCACGCGAACCTCCTTCACGGCCGAGCAGCTGTACCGGCTCGAGCTCGAGTTCCAGCGGTGTCAGTACGTGGTGGGGCGCGAGCGCACCGAGCTGGCCAGGCAGCTGAATCTGTCAGAAACACAGGTGAGTGACCATGTATGGAGAGCCAATCAGTCATTTAATTATTAGGCAAACTATTTAAAATACAGGAAACTTTCGCACAGTTGGTCGAATCTTGTTTTATTGAACATAAAGATGGAATCATTAAGAAAAATCACGCTGACGTCATTCAATACATGGCGAGAATTTTTGTTATATTTTGTGCTTTTTTCCAGGAACTGGATTAAATATATACATATGTTTGATGAGTTTGACATAAATAGTGACATTTGGTAAATTACTATATATTATAACTGTATTAATGCAATTATTATATTAATAGTTTAATAAATTAATTTAAGTCATAACCTCTCATCATCTTTTGGTCATTTTGTGTTTTATTGTTATTTTTAGACATTGTCTACTCATGTAAATATAAAAAAAAAAACTTGCTTTAAAAAGTCAACCAGACCACCATGTTATCACTTCTGGGGCCTGCAACTGGTGTGTTTGCATCTCCATCTATATGGTTGTCATGGTTACAGGCGCACCTTCATAAAAAGTACCTGTTGACAACTTGTGACCTGTTGCAACGTTATCGAAACCTCAAACGGCAAGAAGATGGGAACCAGTGAGTTCCTTTCAGTCTAGCAAGACCTCAACTTGTAGATAGACACATAAATAACTATCTGTTTCTATTCCAAATTAATCAGAACAGTTTTGTAGTTGGTGGAATCAGTCGATAGTGGGATCAGAAAAATTTTACCCTCATCTCCAACATCAACTGTTTCCAGGCTTTATTTAAATTTACTGCATAAGACCTCATGCTGGGGCATATATGTGTGAGTCATTTGTATCACACAGGAAGAGGATATGATGGCTGTGTCAGTGTGAACTCACTCATGCATCACAGCTGTAGCTAATTTAGTCTCTTCCTGGAGACATATAGATAAAATACATAGTTCTCTGTGTAAGTTTTAGGGTTAATGAAAGTCTCAGAATAGAAAATGATTTTATTTTTGCATATTTCTGTAGTAGAAATATAATGTTTGCTTTATATGTAAAAATGAAATAGAGACACATTAAATCAAGATGTTTGAATAAAAGATGATGCAAGTTATCAAGTTATTTAAAGGTAGCTATTTGTCCAAATCAAAGATAACAAAAACATGCATAACCCCTTAACACCTGCAGAAGGGATGAAGCTGATGGGAGTCATCATCAGGTGTGTGAAGCAACTTGTTGCTCTTAAACGTGTCACATATTCTGTGTGTGTGTGTGTGTGTGTGTGTGTGTGTGTGTGTGTGTGTGTGTGTGTGTGTGTGCAGCCATTGGGGCCCTCATTAGAGCTGCCTCTGGGGGTGTTAATGGGGAGGCCTGGGCTTCCTGCTGCTCCTGAGGAGGAGGAGAAAGGACCCCCAAAAACATCCATTGGCCCTGACGTTTGAACAAAATTAAATAATAATAAAAAATAACTTCCATCTACATAAGTTTTATGAACTCACAAAACCTTTTAAACTTAATTTTCTTAATATAAATCTGGCACAAATGAAATTTTTCTAGTTTACAGAAACTTTTCATATGGAGCAGAGCAACAGGTGTCTTCTCAGACGTGTGTGTGTGTGTGTGTGTGTGTGTGTGTGTGTTTGTGTGTAACTAACATTTTTGCCAGGTGTTCGGATCGCAGAGGCAAACCACGCACGTGTGTCACGTGCACATACGCACACATGCATGACAGGGCGGAGTCTGAACATTTCAAATCAAATAGCCTACTTATTCAAAATAACTGAGATCTACACACAGTTCCGCGCTTGATGCAACATTAACGTCATAAGCAGTTTAATGTCTTTAATGACGACCAGAAGTGAAAAGGTCAGTTAAAATACGAGTTCTCGTTAAGTCAACATGCAATTCGATGTTGTTATTTTATCTTGCTCATATTTACCTCTTACGTGAGTTGTCTTAGAGCGCAAAGCCAATCTCGTTACCTGTGCAATGACAACAAATTATCTTGATTCTTGAAATCATGTGGAATTTGGTTACCTGTTTTTTACATTTCTGGGTCATAATTAAAAGTTCACCCGTATATTACAATAATCTCCCAGAATGATTTATTTTGCTCAGCAAAATATCATTTCACCTCTAAAACTTTGAAAACGGATCCTAAACATGATACATTTCTATTTTAGAGGCCGTAACGGATGTGGCGTCGCTGGAAACGAGACATTTATTTATTTAGCCTATTATTTGAAATCATCAACCAGAGGGAGCCTGTGTTGATCAGTTTGCGGCAGAAGTGTACCATCTAATTGAATCAAACCAAAGCATCTCACTCTGAAAATAAAAAAGAGCAAAGAAAGAAAAACCTGTTAAATATAAAGGCAGCTGAATGAACGGTATTTTGAACAGTATTTTATCCAGATGCCAGCATAACATGCAGCACATAAATGAGGTCAAATGTGTCTTAAATGTAACAGACGCATTGGCTTTATTTCTTGGCTACCATGAAAAACTGGCATTTTCTAAATAAAAGGCCTTTAGGTGAGAACACTTTGCAGTGTGACACTGATGTATAGCTTCAGCTGCATGGAAATTTGATTTTTCAAAAAAAACAAATTTCACTTTTTTGTCCAAAGTGTGTCAGATGGACTGGAAATGAAATGGAAACATTTGAATCTGGTGCAAAAGTCAATTTATTTCAGTAATTCTACTTAAACTGAGAGACTATCTAAAGGCTCAACCATTTGCTGTGACACTTTGAGCTTAGAAAATTGAAGGCCCCTGTAACTGCTCATGAAGGATATTTTGTTTTTTGTGGAATAAAACGCCATGCTCCAACTGATGTTCAACTGGTTCTTTATCTTCTTGTTACCAGCAAACACCGTGAAAAACTACGGTGAAATGAACAACAATAAACACAAATATTAATTTTAGAAACATAAACTTATAACTCAGATATTAATGCAATACAGATAAATATACAAACACACCGTGTGCGCCTCTCCACTTAATATTCACAAGCAATTTCAGTCCATGTCCACTTTTCTTTATCCGATGTGAGCTTCTTCTGGTCGCTTCTCCGTGCTTGTGTCAGTTAATCATTCGCTCCGCTCGCGCGCACCTTCCAGTGTCAAATTTCAATCCAGCCAGCAGGTGGCGTCAAATCAACAAAGAAATTAAATTAAATATTTCCACAGTTAAATCAAACAAATGACAATGAATAACCACATTTAACTGCGACAGCTACACTGCCACCAAAATTACAATGATTGAAATTCACTACACATTAAAGAACTTTAAATCTTGTAATTTTCAATAAAATAACTATCAACCATAAACCTTTGTTATGAAACACACAGAAATCAGTAACTTGATAAACTCAAATATCACATTTTAATGTTGTATCAAATTTTGTACTTTACTGTAGTTTAGGACTCACTTTTAACCAAAACCACTAGTTTTTGAACAGGTCTCTCCAGAAAAGATAGTTGTCTCAGACGTTCACCTTTGTTCCCTAAATCTCTTTGACCTACTTGGATCTTAACCTTTCTCACTAAACCATCTGAGTTCCTCTTCAAAAGCTTCCTTCTGTGCTAGCTGGAAGAGTACAGAAGCAGCCATTTGTCTTTCTTTCACACTGATGGCTCCTGATTTGTCTCTTTTTGCAAGACTTTTAATCCTTGCTACCACATTAAGTGCTGTGATCCAATCAGAGCATTTCATGAACCTCTCAAGAAACCTGTCTTGCTCAATAGCATCTGTTTTAAGAACTTTTACCTCTGGGTCACCAACAAGAAGTTCTGGAGATTGTTGGTTCGTGATAATTTCTCTTTCCCAAGGGAATTTAGGTCCAGTGAGCCAGTTTGAGTTTATTAGCTCTGCCACCTTGAGGCCTCTAGATGCGTGGTCAGCTGGATTTTGATCAGCTTTAATGTAAAACCATTGGTTTGGGTCTGTAGTGTCTCTTATTTTTTGAACTCGATTTGCAACAAACACATGAAAGCGACGAGCATCGTTTTTTATGTACCCAAGAGTCACTTGAGAATCTGTCCAGAAAAACTCCTCGTCGATTTTCCGCTCAAGCTCTGCTCTAAGAAAGTTACTAACAAAAGCAGAAACTGCAGCTGCAGTGAGCTCGAGGCGCGGGATTGTGACTATTTTTATAGGTGCCACTCTGGCTTTACCCATAACTAGAGCACAATGCACTTGTTCATCTGTAACAAACCTAATGTATGAGCATTGTCCATAGCCACTGCTGCTAGCATCAGAAAAATGATGCAGCTCAACCCTTTTGATTTTGCCTAGGTTCTCAGGAAAGAGGCATCTAGGTATTTCGACCTTTCGAAGATTTTCCAAGTCACAGAGCCAAGCTTTCCACTTGGTTTCCAGTGCGGAAGGAACAGGTTCATCCCATCCAACTCCACTTTTGCACATTTCCTGGAGTACTTGTTTTCCTATCAAAGTGTAGGGTGAAAGAAATCCTAACGGGTCATACACACTTGCTACTGTTGCTAGAATTCCTCGGCGTGTGGCTGGCCTTTCTTTGAGGGCTCCACTGAATGTGAACACATCGGCTTCCACATTCCATTTTACTCCCAGCACACTTTTCATTGGAACTTCAGAGTAGTTCATGTTTACATCCGTAGTGTTGCCAGCTCGTTCACTTTCAGGAATAACACTCATGACCTCTTTGTTGTTGCACACAAATTTGTGCAAACGCAACTTCCCTTTAACACAGAGTTTGAGTGCTTCACAGACTAGCTGCTTGGCTTTCTTATCTGTTTCAACACTGAGAAGCCCATCATCCACATAAAAGTTTTTGTGAATGAAACTGGCTGCCAGTGGGTAGTCCTTTTCGTTTCTTCTGGCGAGATGTTTCATGCCAAAGTTAGCACATCCAGGCGATGACGCTGTACCAAATACATGCACTCGCATGCGATATTCCTTTGGCTCAGTATTTGTATTTCCATCCTTCCACCACAAAAACCTTAAGAAATCTCGATCCTCTGGATTAACATGGAAGCGGTGAAACATTTTCTCCACATCGCACATTATTGCGATTCTGTTCTCTCGGAATCTGCACAATACTCCTGCCAGAGTATTGATCAAGTCTGGGCCTGTAAGTAAGTGGTCATTTAAAGAGGTGTCTTCATGTTTAGCAGAGCAGTCAAAAACAACTCTAATTTTTTCTGGCTTTCTGGGGTGATACACACCGTGGTGTGGAATGTACCATGTGTTACCATCCTGTGGTGTTTCTTCTGCTTCCTCTGCATCACCATCTTTAAACACATTATTCATGAACTTTATGTAATCTTCTTTGTACTTGGGGTTCTTGTCCATTTTCATTTTCAAATATTTCAGACGAACTGTTGCAAGCTGCTTGTTATTTGGAAGCTGTGGACGTTCTTTAAAAGGTAAAGGCATTTCTAAATGACCTTGCTCATTGTAGTGAATGTTTTCATTTAGCATCTCTAAAAACTGAATGTCCTCTTGAGATATGTTCCCTTCTTTGGGGTTAGTGTCCAGAAAATCAGCTTCAAGTGCTTTAATCACAGATGCAGGTGTAATAGATGGCAATTCCTTTACTATTACACGATGGCAGGTCCCAGTTGCGCCCACTGAACCTGTCCATGGCTTAATGGGTCCCACAATGCTCCATCCCAAGTCTGTTTTAACTGCATAGGGATCATAATCCTCTCCTGGTATGACCTTCCTTGGTTTTAGAGCTCTTGTACAGTCATAACCAATGAGGAGAGCTACAGGACAGTCCAAGAGATCTGGCATTTCATTTGCAATGCTGAGTAGGTGGGGCCATTTTTTTGCAGTCTCTCGAGTTGGAATACTGTTTTTCTCAAGTGGAATGTATTCTCGAGTATATGTAGGTGGCAACTCAATATACTCTTGTGAGTGGTACCCTCTAACTCTCAGTCCTTCCACTCTTTGACTAGGCACAATAGAACACCTGTCAGTTATGGTTGTCAGCTTTAATTTAACGGGTCCTGTTCTTGCTTGTAATTTTTCACAAACATTTTGATCAATAAATGTATTGCTGCTTTGGGTGTCTAGCAAAGCATAAACCAATGTTTCTGGTCTATTTGTTGAAGAAGAAAGCCAAACTGGGACAATCATTGAAGTGCAATCACTGTTGTCCAATTTCACACTGCATGATACAGTGGCTGCATTTTCCTCTTTCGGTAACATCTCAGGCTTATCTGGTTGTGGATGATCTTCATGAAGAGGAGAAGGGTGCTTCCGCTTACAAACATTACATGTTACTCTTTGTTGACAGTTCTTGGATATGTGACCAACACGAAGACAACCAAAGCACATATTGTTGTCGATAATGAACTGCTTCTTTTCTTCAAGAGACATTGCTGTAAACTTGTCACATTTGTAAATAAAGTGATTTTGCCTGCAGCAGATGCATTCAATTTGCCTTTTATTCTGAGTTGAGGAAAGGTTGGGTTTGGATTTTTTGTTGATCTGTGTTGCAGCTGTGGCCTTTTCATTTGTAGACACATTCGTTGTTGTCATCAGGACACTGGCTTTCTGACGTTTTTGTTCCTTTTCAGGTTTTTCAAATGTGTTCTTTAAGGCAAACAAAGAAGAAACTGGATTGCATGCTATTCGTGCTTCTTCTGCCACAAAGTCAGCAAACTCTGTGAAACCTGGATATTCCTTTCCTTCATCTAACAGTTTTGACACATGACGGTTCCAGCGGGTTGTTGCCCAATCAGGAAGTTTCAGTAATAATTTTTGATTCTCCTCACAATCATCCAACACTTTGAGGCCCTGAACATGGGGCATAGCATTCTTACAGGAAACAAGGAAATCACTAAACTCTCTCAGCTTTAGTGACTCTTTTGGTCCGATCTTTGGCCAACTGCTTAGCTTTCCCCGAAAAGCTCTTTGAACTACAAATGGGTGGCCATAACGGTTGTTCAGAGCATCCCAAGCTTGGTTGTAAGCTTCCTCATCACTGCGATAGAATGTCCCTTCTAAAACACCAAGAGCTTCTCCATTAATGTATTTCTTCAAGTAGAAAAGTTTATGGGCTGAATTTGTGCAACTAGTCTCAATAAGAGCCTTGAAGCAAGTGCTCCACTCAGTAAACTTCAGTGGGTCTCCTGTAAAGGTAAATGGCTCTGGTATTGGAAGTCTAGTCATTGCTAAAGACTCCTTTAAAGCTTGAACTAGAGATAACTCACTTTCTTTTGACGCTACTCTAGTATCACACTTGGGCACTGGAAGATATTTTGGGATCTTGTTGGTTATACCTTCAAAGTTAGGAGGTGCCGTACTCTGGATAGCTTGGGTGTATGGAGGACTGTTAAGAGGTTTGGGAAGCTGACTAAAAGACAAAGTACCTTTTACTTCACTGTTTCTTATTTCAGCATTCAATTTTGATTCCTCTTCAGCATACACATTGTATTCAGCCTCAATAACCTCAAGATCTCTTTGCTTTTCCAACAATTTTAATCTCTCTTGTTGAGCTAATATCTCCTTTCTTTGGGCAGAAATTTCCTTTTCCCTGCTTATTTCAGCTCGTTTAGATGCCAACCGTGCAGCTGCCTCTGCTTTCTTTGCAGATACCTGACTTCCTTGCTTACTATAACTGTTCTGGCTACTTTTTTCAGCCCTAGACACAGTTGAGCCATACATTGACTTAGCATCTTCTCTCTGAAGCAACTGAAGGAGTGAGTCTTTTACAGCAATTGCATCAAACTCCTTATCAACATCTGCATAGCGCCTTTTCAGAAGCAACATCATTTCAGTGGAAACTGAAGAACAGCTATCCATCTTTCTTCTGAAATCTTGAGATGGAGTAGTCAGTGTACGTAAAGCTACATAATCTTGCTGTAGGTCAGATTCACATTTTCCTACTGATTTGATCATTTCAGTTAACTCTGCTTTTGAACATTCCTTTTTAAGTTTGGACCTAGAGAGTTGAATCTCTGCTTTAAAGTTTACATATGTTGACATAAACTTTCTTTCTTTACTTGTTATCTCAGACTGTTTAAAGTCACGCATTTTTTCTGTTAGTTTTCTTTGACGCTCTGAGCGTCTCACTTCTGTCTCAGGTTGGGATGATGGCTGAGTCAAACCTATTTTATGTATTTCAAGGTCTGCATAAATTTCACCTAAGCGTATTTCAACTTCCTCTCTTTCTGCATCTTCAACTTCAGTTTCTAATTTCTTTTCTAAATGTAACTTTTCAAATTCTAAAGCTACAAGTACTTCCTCTAAAACACGAGTTTCTTGTACACCCTGCTCCATTGTGAACAATATTTTAAACCAACAGCTAAGAACAATGAAAGAAAACTTAACATGAGAACACTACTTCAAATTCAAACTGTAAAATAGTAACAAACCTTTTTTCTTTTTAACAAACTTTCAATAATATCTGTAGCATACACCGTTAATGTCCGTTTTTAAACAACTTTCAATATCTGTAGCATACACCGTTAATGTCCGTTTTTTAAACAGCATTCAATGTCTGTAGCATACACCGTTAATGTCCGTTTTTTAAACAGCATTCAATGTCTGTAGCATACACCGTTAATGTCCGTTTTTTTTTAACTCATAGATACAGTCTGACCTGGTTTCGTATGATGTTGAAAGGCTCTGCAAAACTGCTCAATTCCCAAAACGTCGTATCGGCCCTCTTTATTTCATGCGGATTGGGCCGCAGACTGTGGACTGCCGTCTTCAAAGCATGGCATGCAGGGCTCTGGCTGCGTACTTCTTAACAGGACACGTTTTTCACTGTAACTGCTCATGAAGGATATTTTGTTTTTTGTGGAATAAAACGCCATGCTCCAACTGATGTTCAACTGGTTCTTTATCTTCTTGTTACCAGCAAACACCGTGAAAAACTACGGTGAAATGAACAACAATAAACACAAATATTAATTTTAGAAACATAAACTTATAACTCAGATATTAATGCAATACAGATAAATATACAAACACACCGTGTGCGCCTCTCCACTTAATATTCACAAGCAATTTCAGTCCATGTCCACTTTTCTTTATCCGATGTGAGCTTCTTCTGGTCGCTTCTCCGTGCTTGTGTCAGTTAATCATTCGCTCCGCTCGCGCGCACCTTCCAGTGTCAAATTTCAATCCAGCCAGCAGGTGGCGTCAAATCAACAAAGAAATTAAATTAAATATTTCCACAGTTAAATCAAACAAATGACAATGAATAACCACATTTAACTGCGACAGCTACAGCCCCATTATTTTAGGCCCTATCCACACTAATGTGTCAAGATTCTTTAAACAGATGTTTTTGTCTCAGTTTTATGCAAATTTCAGAAATATAATGCTGAAATATCTCTATCTCACCACTAGGTGGTGAATAAGTCTAAATAAATTAAAATATGCAGAAGAAAAATTAAAGATATTATCATTTTCACACACAATCAAAGGTTAAAGCTGCAATCCGGAGTTTTCCACTTTTCAGGTATTATGTATGATTGTGTTGTCTCCCACGGCGAAGCACTGGGTCTGGGTACTCCTCTTTTGAAATAACCCCACCACCTAAAATATTTAACCGAGCCAATCAGCGCTGAGCAGCATACATCACACACACAGTGCAATGCTGAGTTTCCCATAAACAACAAAGATGGTGTCTGAAGCAGAGTTCGCTGCGGCTCTTTCCTCTGTTCTAAATGACTTGGACACATCTTTAAAACCCCAACGAGTAGAAGCGCTAAAAGTCTTTCTTCTAAGGAAAGATGTTTGCGTCGTTGCCAGATGCCATATTTGACTACAGCTAAAATAAAGTTGCAACTAACTACAGCATCGCACGGTACAGTCGTCATTTCCGCCTTTTGCCTGATTGGTTATTTTTGAACTGGTTAGTCCCACCCCCCCATATGCCTCTCTGCCTATGAGTAACCAGACTAGTTCTCTGTGTAGACAGAGGACGAGTCTGGCTGACCAGGGTAGTATCCTGCCACCATTACAGTCACTTATCTGGTCCAAGATAGTGCATCTACTATTGTGTTTATAATGTGTTTATGTATTTTTTTAACACATATGAATTTGTCCCTCATTTTCCTCCCCATCTTCATACGTTCGTCACCTCTAAACCCACATTTCTCATCATTTCCGTCCACAAATAAAAAGGCTTGTTTCTTATCTTTTTACTCCTTCAGTCACGGGTGAAAAAACGGTCATATTTTTGGACTTTTTCCACGAGGCGCTCTTCAGTCGGTCCATTTCTGCTGCTAAATATTTTTTTACCTTTTGAGGTGGCAATGGTGGTGTTGTTGACAAATTTAAAGGAAGAGGTGTCCTGACCAATCACAAGCTTGTGGTCTCTGTCACGTTCGATGGATATTTAAAAAGTTGGACATGTCTCCATCACCCTCTGCGAGCCCACCAGAGAGTCCTTGAGTCGACGCATATTGGCGATGTGTGTCTCTGCACCGACGAAGACGAAGTATAATTCAGGATAAAGCCTGTCTCCTGTCCTGTAGAGCAGCGGTTCCCAAACTTATTTAGCCGCGCACCCCCTTCTATGTCCGACCAGGTCGATGCACCCCCCAGCCCCCACATCAGGGCATGGCTATATATATATATATATATATATATATATATATATATATATATATATATATATATATATATATATGTATATATATACCGGTATATACCAGTATATATATATATATATATATATATATATATATATATATATGTATACATATATATACGCACCGACGCACCGATGACAGACACACTCTGAACTTCAGATCTTCAGCGCGCTGTTAATAGCCTGACACGTTTAGAATACTGTCCCACAGTCAGTGTGCTAATATAATAATATAATAATGCTAAAATGCTCAGATGGGAATCATTCCTTGCTTTATTTAGTTACATCCACAATGTTCTGTGTGTGAGGTTTACAATGTCAGAACACCTGCATGAGACAGGGTGTTTATTACAATCTGCCAGAATGATTCGCCACCTTCAGATTTCTCCAACACCGATAAAAATGATCAAATATGGAACATATCTTGCTATTAACAGCGTGTGCAGGCCAGAGCGCTGAAGCTCATCGCATTATTATTATGAAGCTAGGGCACATGCGGAGGACACACACACACGCGCAAAATATACTTGTTTTCAATTACATTTATTGAGCCCACTTACTTTTTCTTAGGCCCACCCACAAATGAGTTTCTGGCTACGCTAATGGTGACATATGACAGACTTCTCTGAGCTCCGCAGCCATTACACTTTTCACCTCGAGCACCCCCTAGCGGCAGCTCGCGCACCCCCACCACACATTGGGAATCCCTGCTGTAGAGCTCCATTTGAATTGACTGCCATTCAGCATTAGCCAGTAGCATTAGACATTTGGTTACGTACAGATGTTAGCCACAGAGCATGTGTGTGCGAGCGTTTGAGGATTTAGCAAGACAGGTGTAGAGTTGGCGACTTTTCACATAGAAAAGTAAGTACCGTATTTTCCGGACTATAAGTCGCATTTTGTTTTCATGGTCTGGCTGGTCCTGCGACTTATACTCCGGAGTGACTTATAGTGCGGAAAATATGGTATTTAAAGTACAGTAGTCTATGAATGGCACAATGTGAGAATATAATTTTTAACACAATGTGGTTTAATTCTGTTGGCCAGCTATTGGTGCGCGTTCACGAACAAGAGGCGTGGCTTTTGGCTTTAAAAATGGGAACGATAAGCACGGTTTAAGATATTTCTCATTCCCCAGATGGGGCCGTCAGATAAAAAATCAACTCTGGATTGTAGCTGTAAAGGCATACTAAGCTAATTTTTCATATTTTTAAATAACTTTCTTGAGACAGTTTGTACTAAAATGAAATGACACTCAGACCCCCACTGCCCTCTGTGGCCAGAATATCGCACTTGCAACTTCAGAGTTGCCGGTCTGGTCCCTGTTGGATTTAGTAAAGTGGAGCTGACATACCTGGTGCTGGAGTCTGCTTCCAGCAAGTTTCCTGCATGCTTTAGATCATGAACACAGCCTATTTCACCTGGTGATGAATCACTCCTGTAGACACTAACGAATGCTTAGGAGACATTTCAGCTGTGCATAGCAAGGAGATAGGTTTCACTTTTGGTTTTACTAACGGACACTAGGGGGTGCTAAAAGCAAGCAAAACTACTCATTATCCCTTTAATGCAACCAGGATCACTAAAAGTGAGACAAATGTGGAAATGACAGCTTTATTGTTTTATTTTTAGTCCACAAATCAGCAGTAGGAATGTTCAAAAGAGGCTGTTAACGTTGTATTTGAAAAGTTTTGTTTATTGCAACAAACACAGAGTTTAGAAAAGTCCCTGCTTTGGAAAATTGTTTTGAAAAAACATTTTTTTTCCACAAAAAACTTAGTGAGCTGCAATTTAATAAAGTATGAAAATGTCTGTAAGAGTGTGGGTAGCGCTTTCTGTAGCTGCTAGCTGTGCTACAATGCTAATGCTAGCTTACGAAAAGGAACAAGAAGATATTTTAGTTCATTTAGTGTTGTTTTTTTTCTTTCTGCTCCCCTTATAACAGTGTTAACAATGTTTCTCTCACCATCTCTACTACCACTGCTTTCTGTAGAGTCGGCAGCATCTTTCCCCTTGCTTGTCATTGCGTGAACTTCCAAAATCACGTGTGGTTTTTGCAATTCTCTGGTAGTTTTGGGACCATCTGCGTGGAACACTTTTGCTGCTGATTTGCATCTGAAACGCCCCAGGTGGAGCTCTGTTACATTGTGGGATGCTTACGGGCTTGGTGGAGAGGTCAGGTTAGACTTGCTGCCAATTAAAACTGATGCTAGACTGGATCTGGTGGAGAAATGTGAAAAAATTTGTTCAGGGTAGAAAAAGGCTTTACTATTGATCCTTTTGAACTCATGATGTGATGCTAAATGTGTCACATTTGATGTAACTGATTCTAAGAACTCTACTTCTTTAACAGAATTAATGCGTTTATCAGAAAATCCAGTAAAACTGAAACTTTTATCAGTTTTCTGCCTTCTGGTGGACAGTTTATACTGTAAAGTTGGGACGTGCTAACTTTTATTCAGTAATTCTGCATCATAATTTATAAAATACTATTAAATAGATGTTGTTTAATTTAGGAAAACATTAGATAGCTACTTTTTGTTGTGTTCATTGCTCCTGATTTACTTAAATAAAGAAAGCCAACAAAAGATAAAAATAAAACAAGATTTAAGAAAACTGACTTGTTATGAAGCAAGAACAATAAGCTTCAGTTTCTGTTAAATGTAATAACACCGTTCTAATAATTTTTGTGACATTTCAGATGCTTTTCTGGAAAATGCCAGCAGATTTCTGGGCTTTCTAAATCTGCTCCTCCTAACCCCATCACCAATGAGCTCCATGGGATCTTCTCAGAAAAGTACACGCTGCGTTTTCCAGAGAAGTGATTAGTGGGCGAGGTCTCTTCTTCTGAATGTAATGCCAGCTCTGAAGCAGGTGTGCAGCACTTGTTAGCATGGAGCTGCACCTTGACGGGAAGTGAGCTGTTGTGACAACTGTGCATACTCATATATTGAACCCATATTGCACCTTGCCCTCGTGGAGACAGGATGAGGAGCGTTTTCACGTCTGCTTGGAGAGAATGTCCTCGTTGTGTTTATTGTTCTGGACTCAGACAGAAGATGTCTGGGCCTCTCCTCTGGAGCACAGAGGCGTGTGGCCATGCAGATGTAGGCGCACAGAGCGAGCATTGTCCCGGCACTCGGAATAGTGACAAACAGGAAGAGATCCCAGCAGATGAACAGACAGACAGTTACAGCCTTTGAGTGATTCATTCATTATCAGAAACAAACCTGTGAGGCTGTGATTACCTAATCAGCTGATTAGCTCACCAGAAAAACACAAAATAAATGAAGTCTGTTGCAATAATCCGCATTGACTCTCAGTTAAAAAGCGTAATTTTCCGAATATACGGAATAACGTGTGATCTTTCAGCTGGTCTGGAAATAAGAAATCTGTAAAACTGGAGTTATTTTACTTTTGTTGTCCTTGTGCATACACACTGATACACTCAAGTTTGATCCCCTTCCAAGAGTTTCAGATAATCAGCAGGGTCGTAGACGCTTTCTGTGCAGCTGTTTGGTGATGTTTGCCAAAACCGAGACACGAGTCAGCTGAGCAGGACTGCCTCAGCAACTAAACAATCCCAGAACAACAGGGAATGAAAAGAAATAAATGTGATTCTAA